TAGGGGAAAGTAGCAGGGCCTGCAAATCAAAAACAATTACTTTCAGGTTGTCTTCATTGAGTGCTTTATCTTTATCAATTTCTTTTGCTGTGCGTGCTGCTGTCTTCATCTCTAAATGTTTCGCGTAGATCTCTTCTGATATATTTTTTGTCTCAAAGCCACAACATGTATCACACTGATCTTTCTTAGGGCTGAATAAAGAGAGGTTCTGGCTTTCAAATACTTCTGTAAACGTTTTCCTTGACAGGAATGCTTGGTTACATTGTTTGGACTTTTCAATGTATTCATTGTAGAGTTCACAGAAGGAATTAAAAGTTGGTTCCAAATACTGTTTCAAGGTAGATGATCTGCAATAATGTGATGGCATCTTTGGTAGTTGTTTCAAAAAGTCATTAGCAAAAGAAACCTTTTCTGGGGCTCGACTTTGTATCTGTCTTTGGGTGGGTGGCTTTGGAATTCCCCTATCTGCATTATCAATCCACGAATAAACGGTCTTTTCACCAATGCCTAAGGTAAGCAAAAACATGGCTTTGCAAACTGGAACCCTTTCATGGTTTCGTTTGAGATGATAAACTAGAGATCTAGAACGCCTGCTTATATCTTTGTCTTGCTTCCTCTGTTTACAACCTTTCACATCCACCAACGTTGAAATGTAAACTTTTTTCTGATCCCAGTCCATATTGTTCCAGAATTGATTGAAAATGCTTCTTCTTTCTTCCTCGCCTATCGAAGAACAGTTCTGACACTTCCTTGAGCACTTTCTTTCTTTCATCACTCTTTCTGGTCTCTCTACTGTAAATTTATAGTGACCGGAAATTTTCGTCATCCCTTTATAGCCTTTTCCTTGCATTCGTAATGCTTTTTGCTTATTTTTCTCCCAGTCTGTTGGGTTTCTTTTTCTATCTTTCTTAGGTTCCTGTGCGGTTCTCATGTCATTGGCCATCTCTGAATGAATTTCTTGTCTATCATCAAGAGTTTCAGGATCTGATTGTTCATGTTCCGACTCGTTGTTTTGGTCTACTTGCAGTTGTTCAGGAGGTACAGTTTCTGATTGACTCTGCTCCCCAAGAATCACTTCTCTTTCAAATGGAATCTGCTCGTCGTTAATGGGTTCATTGGAAATGTTACAAGGAGCCCCTTGGTTTTTATCAGTTCTTACGATTTCCTCACCAATATTATTGACTTTTGCATTTGTATCATTGACTGATTTATTCGTGAAATTACTAGTAACAGTTTTGTTTTTCTTGATCTGTTTGATTTTTATCGTTTTTCTTCTCTTTCTTTTACGCGTACTGCTACAATCTGATTCGCTGTCTGAGCTGCTTTGTAACATTTCTTTTCTTTTCGGCTGCCAAACTGGATCATCAGAACTATCATACAGCATTTCATCATCAGACTCATTGTGAAGATCGTTTTCATATTGCATGTTATCGTTTTCATCACGTTGATCTTTTTCATTCTCGTCTACTGATTCTGTAACAACCGATCCCTGGATTTGAAAATTTCTAAATTCGTTTGTATGACTAATTTCCTTGTTTTTATTTAAAGATAGTTGCAAAAGAAGCTGTCCACGAGATAGAGGCAAATTAACAGCCATTCTTGCAGTTAGGATGAAATTTGAATTCAAGTTTTTTGTAATCGCTACCTTGTCTTTCAATTATTATTGCTCTTGGTGTTGTTTCTGGAAACCAGGAATAATAAATATTTTCTATAAATTGAAATTGCTGGCCTCTTCTCGAGTAATCTCCACGTTCTCTACCTTGTAAAAGTGATACAACCGGTTGAATTGGATGTACTTTTGTGTTGACATCTGTGTAAGTTCTTCCCCATTTACAAGGTTGTTGCATTTTCCGAATCGTATGCCCCAATCATAAACCAACCACAATAATCACAAATATATATGTCTTTAAAATCTGATTCCTTGACGCTTTTAGGAAGATTTGTTGTACAATTCAAATGAAATCTCTTATTACATATACACCGCACCCATTTTTCTCCATTTACATCAACAAGTATTACATGTTCCTTTGTAATCATTTGCAAATCAAGGCAACCAGAGTTCACTGCAACGCGATGACACTCAAAACAAGTCCATTCAGGCCATTCCTCTTCAGAATCTGACATCTAAAAAATCGTTATTTAGATTTTAAAATTACAAAAGTGAAAATACGAGCATATGGTTTGATTTGTTATAGACTAACAGAAAAAATATTTGGCACCTTCAAATGTAAAATACAACTCGCATTTTTATTATATTAATAGGATACATACCAAAACCTTATATTAACATACTTATCTAATTTGAAAATGACTGTCAACTTAATCAAAGGTTTTTTCAAAATGTCGTATGTCACGTATTATTCATTCAAGTTAAAATTACAAAACCTCGTATCTGCAGAAAAAAAGTTTGAATGAAGTATTTATTGATTTTAACAAGCATTAAAAATATAAACGATGATATCAAAATGACATAGATTTATTTCCTAAACTTTGCGAAGTCAAAAACAGGGGGAAAATCGTTTATTCGTTGCTGATCAGACGATATCTCTTCTCTTTTACACTGTTAAATTGAATTCAGCGTGTACATGTAGTAAAGAAGCATATTCATGGCATATTAATTTATTAATTGAGCAAAATATTTAATAAAAGTGACAATTTACCTGTATTTTCAGTCATCTGCAACTTCAATGTTTTTTCTCTTTTGACATACGATATTTTGGAATAAGCTGAGACAACCAATAGATTTACGAGGTTTTGTCACATGTATAAATTTATGACTTCTGATTGGCGTAGAGTTACGATATTTTGAGTGTATATGGAGGCTGGGGTATCAATTCTAAAATAGGGGGAAAAAAATTCGCGCATATTTTGACTTACGAGGTTTTGGAAGCGCAGCGACGATTTGCTGCCCTAAAAACTGGTATGAAATTCGTCATTCAGCATTTGACAAAAAGTATATTGTTGCATTAGTAAGGGAGGTTGACGAAGTCATCACGTTTATCATAAAGCTTCGTTGTAAGATTAACATTAACACCTTCGTAAAATTAAATATCAAATTATGAAAAAAGATATGTCAAATTCTGTTTTATCTTTTATCTCAAGCTCACTAAGATATATCGTCTTGACAGAAAATGGAAATAACTATCATGGTTTATTGACAAAAATCCTCTGTTATACAAGGTACAAGATTTCATTTATCCAATTTGGGCCCCGGGAGGAGCAAAAAGATTTACAAACAAAAGAAGGAGGGGGATCCAAATGATAGAACAAGCATGATGATGATATTACATATAATGAGCAATTGGTTTAAAAAAAACGTATATAAGAGATATACTGAATATACATACATGTACTGTATTGTATGTTATATATATAAAAAAAAATACATAGTCAAGGGCAAGAAACTGGGATAAAAGTATATATAATGCTTATCAAAATATATGTTCAATATGCCCTTTGGTTTTACGGCATGTCCAGTTTTAGTACTAACTGGTAGTTCTGGAACTTCTGTATTTTTTGCATCGTAAACGCTCTGCATTCTATTGTCATCCTAATGCACAAGTTTCTCCTGACCTACTTTTGAAAGTTTAAATCTGTCACAGCCGTTCTAATTTGTTGTTCCTTTGTAATAACAACAATACAGTTGCTGAGTTCGATTGTTTAGCTATATTTTTTTCAGTTATATGACAAGATTTCAAAAAGGTGACATGTAACAAAAACAGTAATGAATGTAAGTGAATACACTCTCATACCTTTACATTCACACATTTAATTATTTTTAGAATTCTTTAACTGTTCCAATATCATTAAATTTATATTGATTGATTGATTGATTGTATATTGTTTAACGTCCCTCTTGAGAATTTTTCACTCATATGGAGACGTCACCGTATGCCGGTGAAGGGCTTCAAATTTTGACCTTTACTCGGCACTCAGGGCCATTGAGCAGTGAGGGATTTTTATCGTGCCAACGCCTGCCGCTGACACGGGGTCTCGGGTTTTAAGGTCTCATCCGAAGGACCCGCAACTTTCTCTTCAAAGTGCCGAGCGCATGGCGAAGGAACAGTTGCTACCCATTTTATCGACTGGGTCAGTCGCGGCCGAGATACTAACTCACGACCTCCCGATCACGGAGCGAGCGCTCTACCGACTGAGCTACCGTGAACGGTAAATTTATAATGAAGTAGATAAAAAGGAGTTTAATTTATTCAGAGCAACCGTGGTAAAATTTCTTACCTAATAGACAGTTATTTTGTCCACATTATAAAATGTAAGACCCTATATGGGGAAGGAGAGGAATTCTACCATTCAACTGGCTTTCCTGGGGTTAAGTGAATTAGTAAGGGTATTTGGCGCAAAGCATACGCACCTGATACCATAACTAATAAAACCATTCATACATTTCTCACTTTATCAACCAATCGGTAAATTTAAGAGAACTGTATTTCACTTTACTGTATAGGTAAAAAAAAATTTAAATAAAAAGAAAAAAAAACAATGTATAAATAATAAATACATACATGTCTTCTAATAAATATACACGCTTATAAGATCGACGATATATATATGAGTACGCTATCTTCGATCTTAATAAAACGAAGATTAGTGTTTCCATATGAGTCAAAAATTCTCGAGAGGGACGTTAAACATCATATATAATCAATCAACACAGAACGGAGATAATAGTTCAGTTTGATAAAATTAAGCAGTGAGGATTTATTTTGTCTCGGCATCTGCTGCAACAAGGGATCTCATTCGTTTTATAGGCCTCATCCAAAAGACCAATATACAATAATCTCCACGACTCAGAACGACTCACAGATGGAATCAACCCGCAACATATGCATAAACTTCTTACTCCATAAATGTAAATCAAACGCTCGAACCACCATGCCAAGTTGGTATTTAAATAAAATAATGATTTTTAAAAATTTATTTATTCTATATTGAATTAATCGTTTTTTTCTCTCTCTCTCGCAATTTTCGTTGCCTAACAAAGAGCCAAGTACGTTAGTTATAGTCACAAGGCCCTGTAAAATACATAAAAAATAAAGCTTGCCTCTCCCAAGTTTTCATGTATTTTTATAAAGTGTAAGATCCGAAGTCTTTGTATATGTAAACATTTCGGCGGATCCAAGCGTCTTATGCTGCTATATAATATCCGAACCTTTGACGTATCCCGGAAAACGAGCGTTTTTCTCCACTTTTCACATGGTTTTGGGGAAAATTCGATGTGGCCACAAGCATCGGCCACGAAAATATTTTAACTAGAAATTCTTGAACATAAAAAGAGTTGATTTAAACAGGTTTCATTTTGGCCGTGGGCTGTGGCCACAGTGAATTTTTGAAATTTCTAATGTTCAGTCGTCTGTTTTACCATGTTTCTGTGACGTATTTTTCATCACCGGTGACGTACAGTCCCCAGTCTGCAGTACCTGCAGTGTAAATCTACATTCGATCGGCGCTGTGTAGTAGAGAATATTTAGAGAAAAATGTAGCATCTAAAGGTACGTAAACTTTGTAGAGAAGTTGAATGATACATATATAATAATATCCTCCACATTCTTAAACATATGATAAACCCTGTACATTACGAGCATGATCCATTGGGTTTGTTTTCAGTTTCACTGACGGCGGCTGTCGTTTGCATACAAAACATGGACAAAGGTCGCTTACAAACACCAAATCTGAGAAAGTGTATAAAGAAAAGGAAATGACTGAAATGTACAAATCAATTTAGATTATATTATGTTATTTAAGAGGTTAAATTTAGCTCCTACACAGAGCGTTTCATTATTTACATTGACAACGTACAGTTACTTGCAAAAGTATACTACGCGTTGTTCATTGTTCGTGTTTAAATAATCTACAGGCATTTTTTTTTTAAAGACCTACAATTCAATGGATTTTTACACTTATATTTTACATATCATGTTGAAGATTATTTGCTACTTTTCTTTGCCAAAAAATAGTTTTAAATGCTTTAGGAGTTAGAATTACTTGTTTTAAAATAAATAACATTGGACATTGCAATTAGTTTTCAAAGTATATAAATTTTATGATTGATTCATTTTTTTATGATGAGGATGGATATTTTGATTGAAAAGTAGCCAATGTTTTTTTTTTCTCGCTTTCTATCTTTCAAAGTAAAGAAGAAATCCGTGTAATAACTATATTTATAACATAAAGTTCCTCATAGATGATTTTATAATTAGAACATATTTTCTATATAAATAATATTTTGTTCTACATGTACCTGTCTTGAGATTGCAGGTAAAAAAAAAATAATGAATTTTAAAAACAGAGATGGCTGTGTTTTGGTTTGTATTTGAGTCCCATTTTGACCCCCACCCCCTTTAGATCTGTACGTGCTGGGGCCTTTTTTCCTTTAGCAGGGGTACAGAGTTACTTGATTTTTTTTTCACTAATGAACGTTTTGTTCTATGAAGAAAAAAATTAATACTAGTGATCTGTTCCTTAGAGTACTTCCCTCAGATCAAATGGTTGATGACTTGAGAATTATTTAAAGTAAACATGGTCAATAATTATGCACATGTAATTTATTTTAGGAAAAATGCCAGGTTGTGGACCAAAATTTTATCCTTGCATACTTTGCAAAAAAAGGACAAAGCCTAGTGAAAGACGGCCTGTGAATAAAAGCACAAGAAAGATTCTAAGAAAATACTTTATGACTGAGTGCAAAGATGGTGTATTATGCAGAAAATGTAGAAACAAATGCGATACATTAAAAGGTAGGGCTGTGCAATATTACAGGTACATGTATATCAGTATATTGCGGTATTATTACCCACCATAATAATATATCACGATATGAAAGCCAGATACCGGTATCTCAGGATATTTATAAATATATATATATATGTTTAAAAAACATCCTTCATTGTAGAAACTGCTGAAATAATACTTGTAACTTCCCCAGGCCTTTCAAATCTAGTTAAAATGAATACCTCGTCAGCTTTCGAAGAGAGATAGAGAGAAAAGAGAGAGAGGAAGCTTATCATTTACTGTAGCAATTTTAAAGATCTTATTAAAAAAAATAATGATTAATAAAAACTTTTGAATAAAATCATTAAGAAAAAAAATATATAAAACATTTCTACAGGGTGTATACCATGTTTACCGTGGTTCTCAAAATCTCGCATGGAATCTACACGATCGATGTTACGATGAGAATGTTAAGCAAATAAGTTCAAGATACACATAACTAGTAAATGGCCATCCATGTTTTCACTTGATACAGTGATGTTTTTATTATTTTTAATAAGTTTCATGCCATTATGATTTTAAACAACTTCATGATATATCAGGACCATGTGTATTAAAACAGTAGAAATAGGCCAGTGCCTGATCGTATGTCATAATATGAAATTAGGTTGGGTTAGACTACAACACCAAAACGCCCGAAAATAGGTCACAAATTCTTTCTGGCTTTATTTTTATTCTGTGACCACATGAAATTTTTATATAGTATCTATTGTTTTAATCAATAAATTATTGCTATTTTGATTACCCCCCCCCCCCCCCAAAAAAAAAAAAAAAAAACATAAAAATGTAACAAGATTATATAATTTGAATTAAATTTTTTCAGTTTCAAAATGCTTCAAGAAAGTTCATTTTGATTTATTATTTTACCTGGTATTTTGATTAAAAGTAAAGTGTTATTATGTCTGCAATTAATATTTTATCCCCCCCCCCACCCCCTTTAAAACTTATAGATAAATTCAAATAGCCTTTGAGCTTGACAGCATTTTAAACTTTCTGCACAATTTTATTGATGATAATTAATTTACAATATATTTCAATATATTGCAATGTTCATCATAAAATATTGCAATATTAATATACCCAACTCTATTAAAAGGAACACCGCAAGAGAAGTCATTGGGACCATCCTCAGCATCCTGCACCACCCCCATACAAAGCCCTGCTGGACGAAGTACATGTACTATGAAGAGTCCACCCTCTGTGACTTTACCTTTACAAAGCACAGTAAACAGTCATGCATACTGTGTTTTGTGTAGAAGACCTGGTCCAAAGCTTGTTGTGGTCTCCACACAAGCAAGGTTTAATTTTTTCCTGGAGCAGAACATTCTAATACCTGCAGGTATGAAAAGTTTTTCTTAACATATTCATATTACTGGTAGTAAATGTATTAATGTGTATTCAGTGTATACATGCATACTGATAATACTAAATTGATTGTGGTATAATTATTAAACAATTTGTTTTAACATGCAGGTTCTCGTTGTTGTCCAGCGCACATACTGAATGACGTCGTAAACACCAAGACTATAGAGAACCCAATACCACCAAAGGACACAAGTTTTGTCAACAGATCTACAATTATGGAGCTTGTTGAACAACTCAGAGAAGAACTATTAATAAGAGGATCAAAGAGATTAGACTTTGATGACCCTTCATCTTTATCAGAAAGTGACTATTTTACTCTCACTGGACTTGGAAAAAAAGAATTTGATGATCTGTTATCTTATGTGGAAGCTGGAGACGTTAGGTCATCTAAATCAAGGAGCGTTAGAACTTGTTTAGCGATTTTTCTGACCAAATTGAGGACAGCTATAGATAACAACATGCTTGGAGTTTTGTTCAACATGACTAAACCACAGGTAGGAAGGAATTTAAAATAAAAAATTTTATTAGTTATTTTTGTCTGCTAATAGAGATCAATACTAGTGGAATATTAATTATACTAGCAAAAATTGTTCCACTGCATAATTTTCATTATTCTATCGGAAAATTTGTGAATTAGAGATGAAAAAATCAATCTTGATAAAAGGAAATATTATATTGCAGCGCTACATGTAAGAAAATAATTTTTGTTTTAGATAAGAAGAGCTGTATCCACTATGAGACAAGCAGTTAGCATCTACTTTGTCCCAAATCACCTTGGTTTCAATCATATCAGCAGGGATACTGTTATCCATGACCATACCAGACCCCTTGCCAAAGAACTGTTCTCTCCTACCCTCAACCAGGCCATATTAGTGCTGGATGGAACATATATATATGTTCAAAAAAGTTCACAGTTTTCCTTTCAAAGGCGGTCATACAGTTTGCAAAAACAAAGGTGAGAAATATCAAATATATAATTAAAAAAATTATTCTTTAACTTTAGGTGGCATAAACCAAATGTCTTGCTCTGTTTATCAGATTGTAGTCTGCAAAAACTCTTTATAACCTTGCCCATAATCTTTGATTGGTTAAAGTGAGGACTTCTGTATTTCAACAAATGAATTAATGCAACTTACTTGAAATTTTATCATGGTACAATTTTCCAAATTAGTTTTCATGGAAAGAAAACATTAATGTAGCTATTCAAAATTTGTTTAAAATGTCATGTAAGTTATATTTGTAAAATTAAAATTTTTTAAGCTATGAATTCATAATTATTGAATATTGAATGATTATTTATAAACAGGCATCTACTGAAACCAATGATGATTGTCACAACCACAGGTTATATCGTAGCTGCCATTGGACCATATTTAGCTGACGGAAAGAATTCTGATGCAAACATTTTGAAACACATTATTGGTACAGACACTCAAGAAATTAAGACTTGGCTCCAGGAGGATGATATCATGATAGTGGATAGGGGTTTTAGGGATTCTGCAGGTGTTTTAGAAAATCTGGGAATTCATATGGAGATGCCTTCTTTTTTACAAAAAGGCCAGAGGCAACACTCCACAGAGGATGCCAATAGCTCTCGTATGATCACAAAGGTATTTGTCTGCATGTATTATGCACCCAGTAAATGAATTATGATTGATTATAGACATGTGAATAAGATATGCGTGAATGTATCCGTATATTAACAGAGATTAGGAATTTTTCCTATAACAGATACGATGGGTGGTAGAATCGGTGAATGCCAGAATTAAGACGTGGCGGTACTTGGCAAGACAACTCCCTAATTCCCAGATCCCATATGTTGGTGACTATGTGCGAATTATAAGTGCAATCTGCAACAAATACAGGTACATTTCATTGGTAAAATTCAAAAACTTTGCAACTGCCTGAACAAGTTTTTAATTTCTAATATGAAAAATTCAATTTAAAAAACATTGTAATTATTCTGAAAAAATTGTTTTAGGCCCCCTCTAAGCAGTGGAGAAGAGAATGATTTCCAAATAGCAACGAAGATGCGGTACCTCTCTACCCAGACAAATCGACTGCAGACAGAAGTAGAGTCAGAAAATCTAGTGAAGAAGCGATATAATTGGAGGAAGATTGATGATGAGGAGAACACCATTACTGACTTTCCAAAGTATACAGAGGAAGAAATTCGGGAATTGACTCTTGGTGTGTATCAAATTAAATTGGCAAAATTTTACACCCAGGAACATGTGAACCAGGATGGATTTGAGATATGGGTTGATCAGTTCAAACCAGGCCTCCTTGCTGCCAAGATCCAAAGTAGACATATCTCAAGCAAATGCTATCTGTGCTGGATTAGGTTTGAGGATGGTGTCGTGACCTCTTGGTATTGTCGTTGTAAGTCAGGAGCGCAAGTAGTTGGAATTTGTGCACACATTGCAAGTGTTATTTGGTACTTGTCCTTTGCTAGATACTCTGATGTGATCAACCTTGAATTAGGCAAAAACTGGCTAGACAATGTATGTGATGCAGCGGACATTCCAGAGATAGTTGACGAAAGCGACAGTGAAACCGAAGCCACTGAGGAATAAAGACAAGAAAGCTTCAACTTATTGATTGTATATTTTCAAATTATGGTTATTCATTTATATTGACAGGTGATTATTGGAACTTTTTCTTGTGTCCCTAACCCTTATCAAAATGTATAAAAAAGTTAATAATTTTATATATAGTTCTTTAAACAGTGTGAGTGTTATGTCCAGTGTGGTTATAGGCATGTGATCTCCTTTTTTCAGATATTTTTGTTTATAGTTTTTATATAGTTAACTAAATATCTAATTATTTTAAATCTTCAGAGCCAAAAAATACATAGACATAGCAAATTGTTTCTGTATTTGAAGTTTTTATAGTTGAACTCACACTTGTTTTATATTTAAAATGATGATTTTTATGTACAGCTACAATTTGAACAGTTTAACATTTTTCAATCTTTAATATAAAAGAAGAAAAGCAAGTCATCTTATACCTTACAGAGTTTTAGAAGATCTTATTCTCAAAAGAAACAAAATGGTATTTTTATGTGAATTTATGTAAGTTGTTTTGCATAGCTTTGCAAGTTTCCTGTTTGTGAGTTAGAAAAAGGTTTCAATTTTGTTTTTGTCAGTGGTGCACATTCAAAGATCAATTTAACATGCAAAGTCATCATGAGCCAAAAGAAAGTCCTCAATTGTCATTAATATCATTATATCCTGCACATAAAATTTCTTTATCTTTAATTTTGCTGTACATTGTTGTCTTTTAAACAAATATTACCTAATACTGTTTTAAATTCTATTATTTTACCTCAAAAGGATGGTTTATTGCTTTGTAACATATTTTAAACCTAAGTGCAAAAAGGTCAAAGTAAATGCTGAAGAAAGAGATATTTCTTTATTTATTTTTTTAGATCCTTTAAAAACTACTTTGAAGGATCTTTTAGCAATTACGATGTTAAACATTACTGAAAAAAATGTCATGACTTGAGGAGAAAAAAAGACAGCAAATTATGCAAAAAATTGACAGCAATTATGATATTCAGATATATTGGAAGTTGTTTGTTTTATTTATTTTTTTTAATTTGCACAATATTTCTGTAAAGGTAAATAAACAATGCAATTTGAACAGTTAAATATTAAATCTTTTACCTTCAACATACATTGAAACATAAAACTTGTAATTAAAATGTTCTTAATTGATGGTAAAAATGACGTCACAGTGCTCAAATCTGTGAAATGCAATAAAATACACCCCATCTTCAGAGGGTCATTTCAACTTAACTATAAAAGATAGATGAAAATTGTTTATATATTTATGAAGTGTACATCCTGAAGTCATATTTATATAATTATTTTCAATTTTCAATGAAAGGCCGATTTTTCTTACTAACATACTTGGCTCTTTGATCAATGTTACTCCTGAGACTTTGAAGGACAGCAACAAAGTGTTGATTTTACATATTTACGAAAATCAACCAGCTTCCAAATGTACAAAATTGGATTAGCTACAGCATTTAAAATATTTATACATAACAATACACCCATTACTCTAGGGCTACATTTCTCAATCCAAAGACTAACAATAAGTGGTCCAGTAAAAACCAAAAGGGCGCTAATCAACAGCCCAACTAAATACAGAGTACCTATAACCTTTTTATGCCTGATTTGAACGATTGGATTTCTGACTTCCCTTGTTGTTGGAGAGATGGGTCCGTTTTCCTCGAAGGCACTGGTTTGAGGAGCTACATGTAGTTGAAATTTTCTTACAGGATTCTCTTTCAAAGGAACATCATTGGACTTTCCTTTCGGGTGTATTTTGAGGCTCTGCGTTTTAATATGTTTGATTGTCAGTACGTAAAGAATTAACGTAAATAATAAAAGAATCGTCGATAAAAACCTACTGAGTGCTCTGTATACCATGTAATGGCCATTATACACGTACTCCGTGATCCTGTCCTTTGAAGGGTTAAACTTTGTGCGAGATGGCGAGATAAGAAAAAAGTTAATCAGCAAAACCACCATCCAACAACCAAAACATACAAAATACTTCCTCTTCTGTTTAAAAAGGAACATGTGTACTTTTTCTTTAGAAACGATTAAATATCGTTGTAAGCTGATCAGAAATATCTGCAGTAGTGAAAGATACAGCCCAGTTGTAATAAAATGCATTTGCGAAATAGTTAAAAGACTATTCGCGTGTAAATAAGGAAACATTTGTTTGATGCAGCCGCACATAATTCCAAGCCCTATCGTGAAATCGCTTACGGACAACATCAGAACAAGGAAGTAGTAAGGGTTGCCGCGTATTTTCTTTTCTTTGATGATGAGGATAAATACTCCGCTATTAAAGACGAATACACAAAACAAAGCCGTTAATAACGGAATAAACATAAATGTTGGTATTGTTATATAGTGTAACTTCTGGTCCGGCAAAGAGCAGTTCACGTCTCCAGCTGGCAAGCAACTTAAATTCTTGACAGTATCCATCATCCTTATTTGTCTTTGTAGAATGTCCCAGGGATCAGTACTCATATTCATTGTTGAAGTAAACATCACCAGAAGCTGAAAGAATAGATATATATATAGACATGTATATACATTGATACTTTTAAACTGTTTATAATTTAAAATTACTTCAAGATGTTTTATTTTATAGTTCGTTCAAAACAAAATTTTATAAAAGGGTAGCACATTCTTGGAAAATAAATACTAAAAGAAAACCTTGATAATCTGATTTGTCATCTTCTTACAATTAACAAGGTATATTTCCCCCAAAACAGGATATAATTCCAAATGTAAGAAATTCCAAATTATGATTGAAATACTTTTACATAGTGTGATACAATCTTTTTTTAAATATGAGAGTTTTTTCCTTGCATGTCTGTGGTCTTCAAAAATTTTACTCGAACAAATACTTAGTATACATGTAATATGTATTTTTGTTCTTTTCTCAGACCATATTTTAACTCCTTTAAAACAAGAGCTCCATATAAACACATAAAAGTGATGAATTTGAAATCTTAAAATGTAAAAAAATCTTTGCCTTGCCAAATGATAGTTCACAACTTAAGATATCGTATAAAAAATAATACAAATCTGTAAAGATGACGAAATTCCAGAGACGGGATTTTGTACATAGATGGAGTATGCATCCCCTAGCGACCAGTCACACCAAAAGCTTCTTTTCCAAGGAATGACCATGTAGACGGTACTTTTCGTAGTCTAGTCCATCGTACAAGTCAGCCGAAATACAACCCAATGATAGATAAGCGTAAATATGCAGAATTGAATTCTAACAAATTAGACAACTTTAAAGTACAATTCTAAGGGACTAAGTGTCTACATATTGAGATAAAATCACACCCAGATTTGGTACTCAAAGAACAACAGCAGCAAGTACCCCATCCCCCAACAAATACAGTTCCAGCTCAGCTCAGCTACAACAAAACTGTTCATCAAGCTGGAGAAATCTGACGGTAAAACATCTGTTCAATGGTGGATGAAATTTATGACTCTTATTTCCATACAAGGTCTTTCCGAACAGAGCCATCCTCCGTTTACCCTTCTTCCTAATTATAGCAGCATAGACGTGCTTTGGAAATAGTAAAAAAATTAACATTAAGTTCATTAAAGAAGCCTTCATCAACCGTTTCAAGCCGCCATCAAACCACGCCTTTGATCTCTGGACATGCACCAAGTACTTGCAGAGAGTGTTGACGAATCTTTACATAGGGTAACAGAAACAGCCGCAGACTTGAAAATGGACACATATCAGACCATGAGTAAAATAATCAGAGGATTAAAACCAAAAATAAAAGCAGACATGGTAAAAGTCAACCCTTAAACCAGTGCTTGCAGAGATGGTCCAAACCATACGTAATGATGACAATACACAGTCCGCAACCAGTGCCGCAGTGTGCAATGTAATGGCATCCCTTGAGGAACGGATGAGTGCTCTAGAGACGTCGAACATAAACATGCTCTAACAGCCCAGACGTTTCAACAACTCAACACCACAAAAGCCCTCTTTTAACAACGCTCAAGGCCAGTCACA